GGAAGGGCCTCCCTTACTTGGGCTGCAAAAAATCTATCTATAACATGTTCGGTGACATAAGCTATGTTTCCGTAAATAGAATATGGCCTGGTAAGTAACAAATAGTAGAACATCCTCTACACTGAAACTGCTTACCGATAGCGGCATCGGTTTTGCTGAATATCTCCTCTACACTAGTATCTCTTGAGTGGCTTTCTTCACTCAATAAACATGAGCGTTGATCGAAATCTGGAAGTACATTACCGGTCAAAACTAACAGTGAGATCTTCAACCCCAGTAAGCCAAAATGTACTATACAATAAGGTCCACAATAGATTATTTTTCACATTTGTTAAACAAATAGGTTATCAGAGTTTTTAATGTTAAAGAGAACGTTACAGATCTTTGCAACAATCTTTAAAACGGAAAGAGAATCAATAGCCTTTACGGGACCGTGAACCCTTGGCCTCAGCGTCTTAAACCCTTAGCATGTTGCTTTCAACATAGACTTCTGGCAAGCTTGGGGTTAGATGTGACATGTTGCAAGTTACACATCACTGCTAGACGCAACACACTGGGGGTTAGAGACGGAAAGGCCGTAGGTCCACGGTCCCGTAAGGATTAAAAAAAATAAAGAAAATTCTTCAACGAATTCCAAGGCGGTCTGAGATATAAGCACCTATAATCAATCATAAACTTTAGAAAGTATATGAATACTCCGATTATTAAGATTCAAACTAGAGAACACTCTCTGGCAATGTTGTATCTTGAATATATGGAACGTTGCCTTTTTTGAGAAGTCATAAGTTCATGGGAATATAGCAACAAGTTTTAACTATGCAAGAAATAGAAACAACTTTTACATATATCTATGATCACTTACAAGGAAAGAAACCTGTGCAGTTGATATGAATCATTAACTCATGGTCCGTGAGGCATGAAGAGCACAATTGGTGCAGTGGCCACTAGTGATCCCGCGACCAGAGCTCACCAAGCCTTCCTTCATCCCTCCGGGGTCGGTATGTGTGGGAGAATAGTAGCAGGCTTGACACATCGGTAGACCATTGCGAGTCATTGTATGGGTCAGATTCGCATTCACTCTTCTCAAACAAAGTTAGACGACGTCAAATGCATGGCCTCTCTCTATCAGGGGGTGATCAAGGCCAAGAGCTTCATCCTTTGAGGTAAATGCCAGCATTTTAGCTCCTTTTCAGTGCAATATTCGCATATAACACCCAAGCGTGTGGCAAGAGAACGCTGACTTACTAAAATAAAGCAAACAGAGCTGTCGGATGATGCGTATAAGTAGGGCAGTACTGGATCTAACAGTATATGGTACTGAAAAGCGTTAACAGTCGATTTTGAGTATATATCAGCCGTACAAAATATTGCAGAAGCGCAAGATATATACTGATCCATTCAAATCTGCTTAAATTCTTGACGATAGTATTCAGAGCAGTTAAGGTTTTCCCAGTGATTGCAAGAGAAAAATGTGCGTGGATGCTTTGAATTTCTATTCCACAAGGTTCTCTTCATTCCTTCGCAACCTTCCTCAACGATCTGCTCATTGAGTTTATGGAGCTTACTTGAAGTTATACAGCATTGAGAAATCTCTATATAGATCATGAATTACCTTGCTTCACTGACTTTCAAGCTCTTATATGACTGTTTTCATTACAACTGACTAAAATCGAGATCTGATCATTTTTTCTAGAAAACTTTTTTGGATGCTTCTAGTTATAAGGGGACAAATGAAAAGCCGACCTCATTCGCTGGATGGAGTTTTTCGTAGGAGTCTTAGTAACCATTCGAGAGTTTAGAATTCTGGCTACAGCCCCATATCACCGTTCTTTCAAAACACCCTTTTATAACGCTGTAAAATCCGATATAAAATAGCCTTAGATGCGCATACTTCTCGCCGAACAAACGCTTTCTCTGGACTATTAGTAAGAATTCGCTGGCGCAATCGTTGCTAATTCCAAAGCTATGCTTTTATCGTGAAAAAAACCGCTTCTCTGAAACGCAAGCATGTAACTAAGTTAAATTCGCATGCGCGATCAAGGGGCTCTTTGGCCAATTCACGTGCCCTGACGAAATGTCGCAAGACCTGCCCAGAATCGATCGATCATCGTTTCACTCGGCGAATGTGGTCACCTTGCCCAGCGCCACGGGAATTGGCCAAAGACCCCTCGTCGCACATGCGATTAAACTTATTTCACCTGCTTCGTTGCAGAGAAACGGTCTTTTCAGGATATAAGCACGATGATGAAATCAGCAATGATTACGCTATCGAATGATTACTAACAGTCCAAAGATAGAGCTTTGTAAGGGCGAGAAATATGCGCATTTGAGACTAGTTTTATTTTGGACTTTACAAAGAGGGTGTTTGGAAAAAACGGCGACGTGAGGCTGTAACCAGAAATCTCAGCTTTCGAATGGATACTAATACTCCTATGAAAAATTCTTGTCCAGCGAATGAGGTCGGTTTTTCATTTGTCCCCTTGTAAGCAAAAAACTACTTTTTATTCCTAGAATGACGAAAAGGTATTAAAAAAGTCAATACTGGAACAATAATTAATCAGAAAGTAGTGCTTCGAATGGCTTCTCAACAAAAAGCCTTTAGATTAGTATCGCTTCAACTCTAAGAGATGACGTTTTCTATTCAACTGTTATTGCGAACCTAATTTTTTAGAATTTCTATATGGTCAAAAAGGTTGATTTGGCAGTTTTCAAAGTTTTGTTACTTCAGCGGCATATGTACGTTTCAGTGATTTCGCTCACATCGTCAGTAGCGACAATTCACTAGTGGCCCTACATCGTGGGAAAGGGAGGCGCAACATATTAAGACCTGACGACATGAAAGGTGTCAGGTCCTTTTTACAGTCGATGGCACATGGCTGCCATCTATGAGTGGATATTTGGCAACACAATTGGAATTTCAATTCTTTTTGAAATCATTTTGAATGTTTATTCACGAGGTTTTAAAAACAGTCGATCAATGGATCGATTTTGGTCTACCAGCCGAGATCCATCAACTGAAAAGTGGTGATGGACCAGTGTCATTGTACATTATGCTATCACCACACACGCTTCCCTACTTGCAACAATGCAGGGCTTAATGTGGGGCGGGGGTCACTGACGAGGAGGCCGAAACCTCCGAAACACCGGTGTATGGCTCTGGCATACCAACCTCGTTTAGGCTAGAAACATTCTTTTAGACACTGCTCGTTCTAATCGAAAGTTTCTGAAAACCTCGTTTTCCAAAACTTCGATATACACGAATTACGAATAAGAGCGGTACGTGCTGGAAAATAGGCACGTGCTGTGTACTTACTTACGGAATTTCGTTATACCTAATGTTTCCCTTACTTCTGAATTTTCTCATCTCTTTTTCACCTAGTTAGGCAGTTTTTCTTTGAGTCTCTGAGGCTTGAGGGCCGCAGTGTAAAAGCTCCACAAGAATCAAATCCTTGCTATCTATGAAATTTTAGGGTATCAGAAAGGCTCCTTTTTTCTATGATGTAGGGCGGCTAGTGGCATTTAATATTGGCGAGATGGGCAAAATCACCGAAGCGCACGTATACCACCGCCGTAACAAAACCTCGGGACAACTAAATCAGCCCTTCCCTATATAAGATATGCCGAAAAAAAGCACATAAATACAAACTCTAAACAACGATAATGAACAAGAGCAATGATAAGAGGATAAATAACAAGAATAAAAATGAAAAAGTAAACAAAATATTCAAGGAACACCGACCAATGATGTGTTCGTCGTCTGATGATAGACTGCCTCCGGTTCCAAGGGCATATCTCATACGACTGACGGGAATTTTCACGACAGTGAGCGCTATGAAATCCTGGTCCTTCACCAAATTGTTCACTCTTTTGATATCTGATACCTAAAATCACTTGTCATGCTCTCACCACTCTGTGACTACCACTATTGATTACTAGTTAATTGATTTCCTCTGATCTGATTTATTAACTCAATATCTCTTCACTTTGAAGCGCATTGTTTCGCTTCAACGACAACCGATGGACGAGAGCCGTTACCGACTGGATTCCTCGGGACGTCAAGCGCTCTAAAGGAAGACCACTGACCCGTTGGTCCGACTTCGTCACGAGAGCGATAGAGGAAAGGTATGATTCTCAGCGAGTCCCTAGAGCAAGGAGGACCACACTGGGTTACTCTTGCACGCGATAGGGAAAAATGGAAGAGTTGTGGTACCCGCTCGAGTCACTTGACGATCAAGGGACGACAGGTGATGCAGGTTATCTCTTCACTTTATCACTTCATTTGACCCCTATCACAGTTTTCCCACCAGGCAGGTCCCTGTAATGCTAGCATTCGATTTCTTTCTTCGCTTGCTTGAGGATTTCATCTCTCTCTCTCTCTTTCGTCTCCTAGTAATCTGGAGGATAGCCAGGATAGGGCGTTCGTTATTGATTACCGGAGAGAGTTGAGAGATGGAGGATGAACCCGCGTCTAGCCGCGTTGAGCATTACTAACGGCTCGGATATCGGCCTCCTCCGCCACTTCCAATTCAGTTAATTATGTAAATTAAGAAATTTATGACCAAACTTAGGATGAAAAACGAAAAAATGGAGGACTTACGTTCACCGAGTACTGAATCGCAATTTATTGAGCGTGTCATCGGCTTTGACTTTTCTCTCGACGATCACCGTGTCTTTGTATGGCTGTAAATCACGACGTCGTTCGTGATCTGAAGATGACCGGCCGATTCTCGATCGCATAGCGTATTCGGAATGAGTTTCGTTCGTCATTTCGAACGACGACGACTCTATCTTCGATCTGGAAAGAAAATAGATGGGACTATTCTATTTTTTGATCTACATTGACAAAAAGGCGACTCAAAATAGAGCGAAAAAGTTAGATAAGAAATAAAGAAAGTAGTTGAAATGAGAAAAAATAGATAAGAAGGAAAAATAAATTTTTCTGGTGAAAAAACCTACATTTTTTCTATATTTCAATAACGAAAGTGGCGTGCAAAACTTTGAACCTTAGGCGGGATCGAACCCGCATTTCACTCTTACGAAGGCGCGCGTTAACCAATTGCGCTACCAAGGGTTCCGCATAGCTACCACTCCTGCGATATTCTTTCTCTTTAATCAAAAATAAGGAAAACGAGGAGCTTCAGGACTGAAAATCTCGAAAACAAGGAAGTAAACTCGATCTCGACGTGGTTGGCGTAATTACGGACGCGACACCGTGTACGATCTTGCACAAATACACGTCTTCCTTCCAACGAGCCTGATTATCAGGGAATTTGTAAATCTCACCACGACGCACAACTACACACAAATTAGCTGCACGCCGTTGTTCTTACTGTATCTATAGCAGAGCTTCACGTTCATTCTACAGGGCTTTCTCCCCCTTACAGGTGTCGTTCTCTCGATTCGATCCCTTTTTTCTTGAGGATACGAATCGAATTGTGATCTATTAGCGCTTCGTGCGAGTCACTGCGCTTCGGAAGAGCTCACTGAGTAAAAGAGAAAATCGATTTTCCGCTAACTAAAGCGGTCTAGTTTCTTTTCTTTTTATTTTTGTCCGTACCACCGTTTTTCTCGCTCTGACGATTCCAGTGCTTCCATTTCAGTCTATATGATTTGTCCTCTTGCCGAGGATAGCCAGGTCGAGGCGTTCAGCGCCTTGACATCCGATCGATAACGCTCTTTTCCATTATCTGACCAGTGCCAAGAAGTTTCTAGCCTAAGTTAGGCGAATAAGATTCATTTATAAATTTCGTGGTTTCAGCTAAGTCATAGACCAAGGTGGTATGATTCCTCTGATAATGGATGTCGATCTTCCTCAGAAACGATGGAGGACAAATGCTGAGTCAGTATCCTTGCCTTTTTTCATTATGCACTTTTTATGGTATTTTCAATGGCTAGCTGGTTAGTCCGTTAGGTTCTCAACCAGATTGTATATAAACCCTGTTGAACTGAAAGAGATTCGGTAATAAGACCGGTGAACTGTTCATTGAATCAAGGATTAGGATGACAAGCAAGACACGTGAACTTTTTCCATCGATCAAAACGAATCGGCCAGAAATTCTTCTTTTTTTTCGACAGAAATGTCCTGGAGATTCTAATAGTTCTTCTGCCAATTAGTAAAGTATTCTCTGAACTGAAGATACGAGCCTAAATATAATAGGTCAACTTGAATTTCTTGGTTGATCTACGATTGTGAATTCCGTTCCTGTCCTCTCCAGCTAATGATGATCCTTTGTGCAGTGTAACCTGTGATGGGCTAGTTTCAATTGATCCACGATTACAGTGGTCCGTCCTTCTGAATCTACAAGAATTCTGCTTCACAGCTTCAGTGGCAGTGTTAAAATGTACGGCTATATGTCCAGAAATGTTAAGCGGCGAAACTTTGAAGCATCCTGAAAACGGTGGAACCCAGGTCCTAACCCCCTGAGGCCCAAGTTTTGCATGCCACTCAATTTTATTGAGTACTGTAATCGTGGATCGATTACAGTAATTTTAAAGATTAACATAACGTTATTTTCTTTATTCGTCTGTTTATGTATCTTCAACATAAATTAACCCTTTCGGAATCCCAGGACCAACTATCTATTAACCTTGGCCTAATTTGAATAAATAAGTATCTTCTTCTGTTTAGCCGCTCCGAAGTGTTATTGATATTATTTATTGAATATCAGCGAGTCATATAACAATACAATTAATAATGCAGCATGAATATGAGACTGTGCCTGGCTCGGGCCGGGAATATTATCTGACGTTTGGTGCGAGGTCACGCGTTACTACGAGGCACTCCTCTTTGCGGTTCATTTTTGGGCCTTTGCTATGTATCCAAAAGCCTTCCAAAGTTTTACGCGTGGATGTTTTCGATTCCTGTGCAAGGACCGTGAATCTAACGTCAAAATCTGCTCCTTTATGCTTTTATTCCTTATGCGTGCCTAGTGGGGTTTTTGGGTCGAAGTTACGTTTCCCAGCTAGGTGCTCTTTTATGCGGATGCACAGTGGTCTACCCATTTCGCCAATATATTCATCCCCGTATGCCTTGCAAGAGATCAGGTAGATTGTACCCGACCTCATGCAGTCGCCGTCTCTGCCGTTGGGGCAAACGCATTCGTTGGTTTCGCAGAGACGATTATACAGTCGGTTGCGGACTAATTGACACATTAGTGTTCTTGATGGTATCTCGACTATCGCTACCGAATTACTTATACTTCGAAATTGTACTATTTTCACTGCTTTTTTTCGCAGTGTTATTATGTTACTTATATGACTAAGAGATTGAGTGTTGAACAAAACACGGCCTCAGGCGGCAATCGAACCCACGTTTCATCCTATCCGGGGACGCGTGCTCTACCACTACACCACTGAGGCACATCTGCCCGACCACTGGAAAAAGCAGTGAAAATAGTATAATTTCGAAGTATAGGTAATTAGAATAGCTATCAGCTCAACTGGGTTTATAAAGCGAAATCGCATACCCGACCAAACCTGTCAAAGGTTGGTGGCTGATAGCCAACATTGAGATGTTGAAGAATGAGTGGTCGGGCAAATGTGCCTCAGTGGTGTAGTGGTAGAGCACGCGTCCCCGGATAGGATGAAACGTGGGTTCGATTCCCGCCTGAGGCCGTGTTTTTCTTCACCACTCAATCTCTTAGTCATATAAGCTACCGAATTATTTAAACCTGCTCTTTTTAAGCAGTGTCTATTGGCTGCACTTACATCGTTGGAAATAAGAGACAGGATGAATGGAACTTTATCCTCGCTAGACCTTCCGTATAGGGGCGTCGATTTTCCTCTGATTCTAATCTGAGAAGCTCCTATCATGTTGTAGCCATTAGAGATGGCTATTTTTCCCGCTAATCTCAAGGACTCTACTTTGTGTTCTTTTCCTGTGCACACATTAGCAGCTGTTCGAAACATGTCTTTTATAAATGTGCATTTTGTGTGCGAGGGATGAGCAGATAGGTGGTGAATCACGATGTTTTTGTTGTTTGGTTTGCGATGCCATTTTGTGTTGTAGGAGTTTCCCGTGACCTCGCACCATACCTCAGGCTAATATTCCCGACCTGAGCCAGGCACAATCTCACATCAGCACAGACTCCTAGTGGCAGGTTGAAGTGATTAATTGAAAGAACTAAAACATTAAAGCGGTGAGTGTTTTTGAAATGATGTTTCTCCTATGTGACCCAAGAAATTTATTTCTTGCGTTTTCTGCTTGGGTTATGATGGCCTTTGATTTAATAATTGGCTAATCAATTTGGCCTTTGTGTCCGGTGAAAATCTCATCGAACATGGAGTGTTGTACATTCGATTGCTCTCGGCTGGTATATTCAATACATCATGTCTTTCGTTTCGAGTGTTTTCTCAAGACCACAGCTCAAATTTCAATATGTCTGGTAATCATTTTTCGAGCCACGCATGTTAGTGGTCTGTCAAGATCGGTATTATTGTTAGCCAGTACAAACGATACAGCACCTTGAAAACCTACCTTTTTCAACCTCGAGATTGGTAATCAATAATAGCTTCTTTGATGATTTACCTTGTGCACAGGATTGATAAATAAGATCCATTTGACTCTCGTTTCGCTGCGCTTCGTCTTTCTCAGAGCCAATAACAGTCGGATGTCCGCAGTCGCTCGTCCTCGTGGATCTTCGTGTTCGTTGTCGATCCAGTCGAGTTTTCTTCGGTGGATCATCGCTTCAATGAAGAGCCTCACTGAGCGGTGTTCTTTATACAGGATTTTTGTTTGTCAGTAATTGTCAGTTTAGATATTTCTTTTCAGGATGACAGTTAATCTTGCAGCAGTTGATATAAGCGTAGGTAGCGCCACATAGTAATAGTAATGTTCCACTAATTGATTTCAATTGAACCACTTTAATTGCTGCGGTTGTTCTTGTTATCTCAGTCATATTTTATCCTATTAGTGATTTAATACATTGTCATTATATCGTGGAATTTGCGACAAGTGTGCCTCACCCTTTCTAGCCTGAATTTATAATTAATATGTTGTTTGTAGAAGTGAAATGCTAGCAAAGCATCTTGGAAAAGTCAGTTCACTTGCTCAAGTGGGAACTCGAAATCTATCGACAGAGGTATTATATTTTCCTCCTTATCAATCTGTCATTACACTATTTGAAGATCTTAATTGAAATAGTAGGTTCGACGTGTTGTTCTCATTCCTGGCGACGGAATAGGTCCTGAGATTTCAAAGTCAGTCCAGGAGATTTTCGAGGTCTGTCTATATGTGTCTTTAAGGGTTCAGTTTTTTTGTTATCAAGATATCTTTGTTTCTCTATTCTCTTACGTTCACTGGAAATTTTAAAGGCCGCTAAAACTCCTATCGAATGGGATCCAGTCGACGTGACTCCAGTTAAGGGACGAGACGGCATTTTTCGGATCCCTTCTCGTTGTATCGAATTGATGCACAGAAACAAGGTTTTTTCCTGCTTTCTTTCTGCGTACTTTTTGATTATTCTATATGTCACGTGATATGTGAAAAGTATATTTTAGGTAGGTCTCAAAGGACCGCTAGAAACGCCAATCGGCAAAGGACATCGATCACTCAATCTTGCTGTCCGCAAGTGCGTAATTCTTTTCTTTTTCCAATCAGGAACTGCTTATGAACAGAATGTTTCGTTTTTGGTTGTGTTGTTGCAGAAGCAGTGGAAAACTCAAGCATTTTTGTTGAAACTATCGTAGATTGTGGAGGTCCTTCATTCCTGCTTTAGAGAGTTCAATCTATACGCCAACGTGCGTCCTTGCCGATCTATTGAAGGTCACAAAACGCTTTATGACAACGTTGATGTCGTCACTATTCGTGAGAACACTGAAGGAGAATACTCTGGAATTGAGCATGAAGTAAGAAAAGAAAAAAACTCCGTCCTTTTTTTTACCTTTTTTGCTCCAGCTTACAAGGTCGCTTAAGATTACTCTTTGAGGATGGCATACAATATTTGGTTGCACACATATTTTCTTGGACTTTGGCCCGGAACTTTTCCACCAGACTTTTGATAGTCGTTCGATGTTTCTTCTAAGCTTTAGTGCGCTGTGGCAACATTGAGAAATTTATCTTACACTTCCGGC